ACGGCAACTTGAAATTTGATTATTTTCCTTTAATTACGACTGAAAACGAGAAAAATCAGCGTATTTAAGTCCTTAAAATCATAACGATTGCTTAAGTACCCCATTTTGCCCCCCCTCCCCTATATATATATATATATATAAAATAGCATCTCATGTTTTGAAAAACAAAAGAAAATAATTTTATTAATTACCCGGTATTTAAGAGATAAAACATAATTACACTTTTATTAATTAATATATACATGAATTTATTGATAAGAATATTATTTTTATAACAATATTAATAAATAATAAGAGTATTATATTTAAATTAACACGAATGAATGTATCACTGCATGATGTTAAAATTTTTCGAATAAAAACAGTTTTTTACAGCTGATATAACAAAATATATTTCTAAAAAGTTTTGAAAATCCAAAAGTGCACGCCTCATAGTCTCATTTGCCATAATAAAATTGATTAAAATAAAATACAAATACTTTTAAATCATTCGCGCCATTGTCCACCCAGAAAAGAAAAGGTACAAACGATTGGTGCATTTTTAGTTTATTGCTAATTCTAAATAAACGACACTGAATTAGACCGTGATCTTCGAAAGGACAGTTTTAGATCATACTGAAGCGTATATAAAAATGGAGTTGATCAGTTAAATTTTTCTGCAGTTATCGTGACCACGCCAGTTTCCATATAAACATTTGACAGCCGGACGTCCACGGATTAATTTTATTGAACATTCTTTTTTATTTATTTAAAAACCAAAATCCTCTAATTTAAAATACATGAAAGTCTTGAAGTTAGTCAAAGGTCGAAACTCGCAAAAAACGGGCCACGATTCCTTATTGGTTGAAGTTAAGGCGCGCGCGTAGCGCGCTATTTAAATTTTTAGTGTCTTTTGAAAATGTATAAGCGTTGAAAACTATAGTTGTTCCATGACATTTATGTGTAAATATTTTTCTACAATTGCGATAGAAAATAACTAGAGACAATTTTAGTTCAAGACATCGCTTGATTTTTGTAAGGCAAGTGTAGAGCACAACCTCATCTGCTTCACATATGAGGCGTACAACAACGTACTTGAATTTCGACACATGCGCCAAACAATACACATTAGGGTGTCCGTTATTTAGCAAGTTGATTTTTTTTTCGCTGACGCCCCCTGGATTTTTAGTTTTTGACCTAAAAAAAATATCCTATATAAATAAGCTCTTAATTACCAAATTAAACCTTGCCCCAATCGAGTTACATTTCCCATTTAAAAAACATGGGAATTTGCAACTTTTTGTTATTAATTTTTTTCCACTAACAAAAATGCCACTACGACTATTATCGATGCATATTCTGATAGGAAATTGAATTTTTTACAAAAAAGTTTTCTTATAATTTTTCGATAAAATCATTTCTTTAAAAGTTATTCGTAGTTTAAGTTGTGTTGATAGTTATTATCATAGTTTTTCAGTCTTGCTATAAAGTTTTAGGTGTTATAATCATTTATTTCATCTATAAATGTTCCAAAAATTTGATATAAAAGATTTATAAATACCGTAACGTTAACAATAGGATGAATTGAATACAATTTTAATAATATTGCCACTTAAACCATTTTCCAAATAATTAGTAGTATTTTTTCTGTCTCTATTCACGTTTCTTTGTTAAGCAATTTTTTGTCGCATAATTACAGTGCTGATCAGATCAAATTTTAGAAGCCAGGTGCATTTTACCATGCACGTTGGATGTCAAAAGTGATTCATTTTCAAGTTAGATCTTGAAGCGCAACAAAATTTTTTGCATATTTTTTTCAATTTAGAGTTCATTCATGGTATTTGTTTATGTGTAATTTTGGTTTGTGACACCTCTTGCAGCATCAGCTTCATATCAAGATTTAAATTATATAAAGAATGTGTATCAATACAGGACAACTGATAAGAAAATTTCTGAGGCAGTCTTGCTTTGATTCAACATAAATCAAAATTTCCAAGAGGTTAACTTTGAGACATGGACCACCAATAATGATTGTCTGGAAGGATTATACATCGTTCAAAATCTACAAGTTTCCGTGTAGGAACTGCCAGAGTTGCCTGGGCCTTGCCTGGCCCAGTACTGGGCAACCAAGCTTAGCTCACCGATATTGGCCCATGCTTGGGCCAAGACTGGGTAATCAGCCTTGGCCAACCCAATGATTACCCGAGCCTGGGCCAAAACTGGACAACTAAGCCTCGGCTGGCCCAATGATTATCCGAGCCTGGGCCAACACTGGTTTGCCATAGGATAGCCAAGGCAAGTGGACCCAGCGTTGGGCCAAGACTGGTTCGCCATAGAATGGCCGAGGCATAAGTACCAAGCGTTGGCCAAGACCGGTTCGTCATAAAATGGCCGAGGCAAGAGAACCTAGCCTTGGGTCAAGACTGGTTCACCATATAATGGCCGAGGCAAAAGAACCCAAGCCTTGGCTGGTCCAACGATTACCCGAGCCTGGGCCCAAAGGCTGGAAGCCTAGCTATGGCCGTTGAATGGCAACCCATACTTGAGCCAGAATTGGATAACCTAGCCTTGGCCATTCAATGAAAAATCCAAAGTTAATTAGTCATTAAGTAATAGAATTTTAAACAGTAGATATTTATTGTTTAACGTAGTTTAACACTTTGGAGTAATTTTTAAAAAAGATAAAAATTCAAATTTTTTTTTAATTTCTTCGGAATGGCTTGATGAATTAACTCTTAAATCTAATCTCTTAAATCTATAGTTGTAAGAACTTAGATAAAGTTAAAGAAAAGACAGCGTTAAATATGCACGTTTTGGACTCAGACCATAGTTTTCAGTTTGGGAATGTCAGAGTGCTGGATTGGGAACCTGTGAGATATAAGCGGAATATTAGTGAGATGATTAATATTTCTTTACACAATACAGTCAATTTTAGAACGGACACAGAAGGCCTGAGTGCGATATACTCCAATCTATTGTCGAAGTACAAAATGTAGATGGTATGGATGGAAGGAAGAAATGGACTGGTGTTAGAAGTATAGTGAAGTCAATAGGATACATTACATACATTACAGCAAGTTACAACAGCATTTAGTATAGTACACTTAGAGAAGACGACTTATAAACGGAGGATTTGACTAGATTTGTTTAAGTAATTAGTTTAAATTATAAAGTTTGTTTAAACTGGTTTTTTCAAGAATTAGAGTAGATCAATTATTATTTTACCGTATAATAATGATTTAAGAATGGATTCTTGAAGATAATTCTTTGTAGTAAAGTTAATTTGAGTATGCTGACACGTGGTAACTTTTTGTGGTTATGAGTTGGTATAGTACGATTGACTTTATGTTGACACGAATTAATTTTAAGGTATTCATTTTAATTTTATTGTATGATGTTAAATAATAACTATGTTTTGTGTTAAAAAACTTTCTCAAGAAAGCTCTAGAGGAAGTTTATTGTTTTATAATGCAAATGTTTAATAAGGTTGTAATAATATATGGTATGTCGTTTGTAGATGCCTGAAGAAGCCACGGTTAGTGGCGAAACGTAAAAGCGGAATTAAATGTATAATTAATCAACATGAAAATGAGATAAACTGAACAAGAACAAGAATGATTATGATTACTATGCTGTCACTAAAAAATATAGAAAAAAGTAGATTTTTATTAGTTAAAAAAAAATAAATAAAAGAATTTAAATAGAAGTGTGGATTAATCAATTCTACATTCACCAATTTGAAATAACCTAAAAACAACCTAAAAAACTCTGTAAACACAAGATACAGAAAAAACATATTATAATTCATAGCTCGAACAGGTTATTAGCATTCCGCTATCAATTATACACAAGTCGCGTGCTGTACGTCTTCTCTCTGAGGCACGCGAGTCCACAAGCTTTTTTTTTTATACGGTAATCCCGTTCTCTTTTTGATCAATCTCTTATTCGTCGCCATCCATCTCTCTTTTCTGTATGGATGGATCATTGATTTCATCAAAATCTCTGTAGGCAACTTTTTCATCAAAGTCAATGATAATTACATTTTAAATCTATTCTGATTTATTCGATGAAAACACGCTACCAAAACAATTTTTTTTTGATAGGTTCTTCAGGATATGATTGCTTATTTACGTTCGTATAGTTACGATTCATCAGGAGTTTTCCTCATCAAACTATAAGTAATAATTTGGATCAAAATACATACATCAGTTGCCAACCCTAAGTGATGTGTTGCGCGTAAACAACAACCTATTGAGTAACACTTGTTGCCGCCCTATGGTTCTAAGGCTTCTCGTTATTCATTCTCTCAGTCGGACAAGATTTCTATAGCAAACCTGGAATCGTTGATTTACCGAATTATTTATTAACGACGAAAAAAATGCAAAAAAGGGAATTTAATGTTACTATGAAACCAAATTGAATCAAATAATGTACATCCAGAAGATAATAAGTTATTAATTACTATATGTTCAATCATGAAAATATTAGTAAGATAAGAGTAATAAAAATATCAATTCGAAAAAATTCATTATTGTTTATTTAATTGTAATACTATAAAAATGATAATTGCACTCTTTTACAACGAGCTATTGTAGTTGCATTATTATCGAGTTATAATTTTTCATTGATCTATGCATATTAAATATATTAGTGATGGTTAAATTATTAAAAGAAAACTTAGTAAAACGGTTGACCCTACAGGCCATTCCTGCAACTTCCCGCTAGTATCGAATAGAAACCCATACAGTAAACCCCCAGAATTGACAAAGGGGCCAGGCTTGGGCCAGTACTGGGAAACCTAGCTTCGGCGTACCTGTATTGGCCCATGCGTGGGCCAGGCTGTTTAACCCAGTCTCAGCCATGCCAATGATTACCCAACCTTGGGCCAAGACTGGCTAACCCAGCCTTGGCCATTCATTGGCGACCAAAACGTGGGCCAAGACTGGTTAACCCAGCCTCGGCCATGCCAATAATTATCCAAGCTTGTGCCAAGACTGGCTAACCTAGCCTTGGCGATTCATTGGCGACCCAAGCTTGGGCCAAGACTGAGCAACCAAGCCTTGGTTGGCCCAATTATTACCCGAGCCTGGGCCAGAACTGGGTCACCCAGTCACAGCCACAATAATTTCCCAAGGGTTAGCCAAGATTGGGAAACCTACACTGAAAAAAAAATAAACTTGATTCAAGAGAAAAATTCTTGAACCAAGAAAATAACTTTGAAGAGTTTAATTGTCTTCAATCAAAACCAAAAATTCTTTAATTAAATAAAATTTATTTAAATCGAGAAAAATTTCTTAGTTTAAGAATTTTTCTACTCAAATCAAGAAGATGAAATTCTTAAAAATTATTTACTTGATTTAAGTAAATTTTTTTTTCTTTGTATCCATGGCCGTTGAATGGCAACCTAGACTTGAGCCAGAATTGGGTAACTTAGCCTTAGCCATTCAATGGGAAATTCAAACTTAATAAATCATTAAGTAATAGAATTTTAAACAGTAAATATATAAATATTTAATAAATGTTTAATGAATATTTGCTAACAAATTCTAAAATTTAAAATTTATTATTTAACCAAGACAGTTGCATATCGTCAAAATTGATATAGTCTTAAAAAAATTAAAATATAATAATTTACAGTTGAATTTTTAATATTGATAATTTTAAACATGAAAATTTATCATAAGATATTAAAAATATACAGAACGATGTACAAAGTTTAAAGTAATATAAGAACTTGAGTCTTGCATTTTTTAACTATAATAATCATTCGTAAAAAATAGTTAATTTTCATCGAAACACAATATTAAATAACATAAATTATATAAATAATAAACCGTCACACTTCGTCACCATATAGATTTAGCTTATCAGAATAATGAGATGTGCATCAACTTATCGGTCGTACAGTGCAGGGGTTAGTTATCAGTCTGGCAAGCGCGCGGCTCGGGTTCGAATATCGGTTAGAACGGATACGATTTTCACTTTATTTCTATAATAAGCAACAGTTAGGTTTGAATTTATACTTTACTTACAAAATAAAATAAAAAAATAACATCCCAATAATTCTTTTTTATCAAATGGCATGGGCCAGACTTGAAAATTAACTATGGCTCAGCCCTGGTAACCAGGCTTGGCCCATCGTTATCATCCCAGACTTCAACCAGGACGGGGCCAAGCCTGGCTTACAAGCTTGGCCCAGAGTTTTACATAGTTGGGCCAAGCTAGGCCCCATGGTACTTTCCTCTATGGGAAGCGCTTTATATTTCACCTGTTACGACGATTTTGAGCTCTTTGAGCTCATAAATATGGGTTGACAGCTATTTTAAGATCTTCAAGCTCCAAAATAGAATTATTATACGTTTTGAGCTCTTCGAGCTCAAAAGTCTAGTTTGCATTTAGTAAAACACATTTTTCAAAATATTTAATCTGCAATTACTTTTGGACAAATCATCCGATTTTAAAATACTTGGTGGCATTTGGCGTGGTTAAGAGAGCGTTACCGAAATTCTCAGAGAGAAATTCGATCTGATAAAAAATTGAAAAATTACATGAAAAAACCATATTTTGTTGATTTTTCAAAAATTAGATGTATCTTAAAAAATCAACCAATTTTATTGCAGTTTGTGGCAGTCGACGCAATCTTTGAGCTTAATAAAAACGTTTATTACGAAAAAGTTGATTTGACGAAAATTTTCCGAGTTATTATGAATAAACTCCGAGTTATTATGAAGAAATAAAGATTTCTTTCGACAACGATATCTCTCGAACAAATCAATCAATTCCGATGCGGCTTGCAGCAATCAACGTCATTTTTTTCAGTATAAAAGCTGATTAGATCATAAAATTTATTAAAACAAGGGTGTCGAAGTAATTCTAGAAAAACCATTTTTTGACAATTATAAAAACTCGAATTTTTAAGATTTTTTTTAGAATCTACAGTGCTGAATTGGTCTGAATCAACAGGAAATCGAAGTTCAGCGCCATTTTTTGCCTACAACCTGTAATGTTCTTTCTATCTTCGTACATCCACAACTATACACCCCATACAAAAAATGAAGATCGGCCCGATACTGGGCCAAGACTGGTAACTGATCTTTAAGTATCGGCCGAGTATCGTGAAATATCGTTGGGCCAAGACTGGGCGAGCATCGGATGGTAACGCCCAGCCGATATAGGCGACTGAGCATCGGCCGAACATAGTAACCAAGCATTGCCCGAGCATCGGCCAAGCATAGGCAAAAAATCAAATTTTAGGTCAAATAATTAAAAAAATTTTTTTTTTGTTGTTTATTTTTGAATTATTATTATTCTGAGCTGATGGACTACTGGTTGATAGAAACTAATTCTGAAAAAATCCGGATGTGAAGGGATTTGAACCTGGTCCGTCTGCGTGGAAGTCTCGAGCGGTGTCCTGGGCGCTGCTAACTGATCTGAGTGTAGTGTTCTTAGTTTAATCATTTCAATGTTCATCAATCAATTTTTCTCAGTATAATTGAGTTAACTTGATTGTTGTTACGAATTTTTCTATTTATTTCATAATTAAACAATTTCTGAATTTTAATAATAAAAAATAACTTCTTAGTTTTTCAAAACTTCATTTTTTAAGCAAGAAGTTCAAAATTAATTAAAAATAAATGATTTATTAGTAAATAAATATATATATTTATATTTGTATATTTTTATTTATATTCATAAATCTATTTGTAAGTAAATAAATCATTTATTAAAAATCATTAGTTTCTTGCTAAAATATTTTTTTTGAATACTAAAAGAAATAGGTTTAACTGATTGGGTAATGTAAAAATTTATCGAAAAAGTCCTCCAAAAAAATATTCATTACTTATTAAATCTGTTTTAGTGAAAACAAATGTTGATTTAATCTTAATAGAGCTTGTTGAATAATAAAAATGTTTTCTTACTACGCTGGTCGAAAGTACGGGGTTTCTGTTGCGATTTCACTGCAGAAAGCCTGACATTTATGCCGTGGTCGAGTCGCGCATGCGCTTTACAACGGGGAGCCGAAAAAATGTATTCATGCACTGACAACGAGACACGAGGCGGCAGAAAGTCCGAAAGTCGGTAGTCGCGCTCACTCTATTACTTATGTTTACAAGCCTAACCTTACTTGTGATTGTTATGAATGTATCTGTCTTGTTAGGTGTCAATGATTTGAGGTTGAAACTGAGTTAATTACAGAAAATAAATATTTATTTTAATGAAAATTAAAATAGCAGATATTTAATAAATTTTAGAATTAAAAAAAAAATAAATTAGTGCAAAAAAAAAAAATTAGAAAAAAAATTGAAATGTAGAAATTTTAAAAAATTAAAAAAGCAATTTTTTATAAATAATTTTTTAATAGAAATTTTTATAAGCTTTTTTTTCATTATAATTTGTATAAAAATTAAAAAAATTGACAGCTATCAGCTAACTTCAGTATAATAGTAAAATAATCAAGTGCTTCCCTCTACAAAGTTTGCCGTCTCCGAGTCTGGCCTTTATTTAATGGCTGCTTGAAGATTTCATCGTAGCCATATTCTACTGTGTTTTAAGGAAAAAAATCACAGACGGTAATTATTGTTTTATTAATAAAATAACACTAATTAGTAAAGAAAAAACTCCCAACTGTAGTGACAGGCAATTAAGAGAATTTTTTTAATCAGTGAAGCTAGTTTTGATTGACAAATATTACCACTTAGAGTAGCTGTGATATCGATTAGGTAATCAGCATGAGAAAATTTCGCGATAACAATTATTAATAATAAATGCAATGGTCAAGATGTTATGTTGAGTTTTAATTAATAAATTAACATGAATTGCAACATCGGAAAAATTGAGTGTATAAATGAATGAAATTAATTATATTTGATAAACTATCGATTTTTCAGACAATGGCTGGGAAGCTCTTGGTGACGTGCTTGAGGCTCAACAGCCGAGTCGTGCCGTCGAGGATGATGTCCAGCGTACATCATGAGGAGGTTCCTTTTGTGCCACCGTACGTTAAGAAAATCGGCAAACGTGAAATTGTCGGGTACGGTATGAATGGCGAGCCTCATTACATGGATCTCTGGGACTACCCATTCCCTTCAATCAGATTCAAGGAGATGACTCCTGACCTTGAGGTAAAAAATAAATATATTTGGCGTCGCTTGCTAAAAAACTTCATTTTTTAAGCAAGAAGTTCGAAATTAATTAAAAATAAATGATTTATTAGTGAAAAAATATATATATTTATATTTGTATATTTTTATTTATATTCATAAATCTATTTGTAAGTAAATAAATCATTTATTAAAAATCATTAGTTTCTTGCTAAAATATTTTTTTTGAATACTAAAAGAAATAGGTTTAACTGATTGGGTAATGTAAAAATTTATCGAAAAAGTCCTCCAAAAAAATATTCATTACTTATTAAATCTGTTTTAGTGAAAACAAATGTTGATTTAATCTTAATAGAGCTTATTGTTGAATAATAAAAATGTTTATTAAAAACTAAAAAATGATCAATAATGATATTTATAAAAAAAAGCATTGTTAATAATTTAAATTGGTGTTTTCTCCTAAAAACATCTCGTAAGATATTTTTTTAAAATTGATTTACTAATTTTTAGTACATATTAGTTTATAATTTGGTCAAACATTAAATTAAAACAATAATACAACATAGTAATGACTATTACGTATATTAATTGTTTTCAAGTGTAATAAACAATTAACCAGAGCATCGGCCAAGCTATGGCTGATAATCAAATCACATACCATTATGTTATAATAAATATCATGCGGTAGCCGATAGCTTACCTAGACTCGGCCAGTACAAAACGCCAATGCTTGGCCGAACATTAAAGCCGATGGTTTACCGAGGCTAGGCCGATACAAAACGCCGATACCTGGCCGAGCATTAGCAGCCGTGCCTTGGCCAATGAACGGAAATTGTTGAGCATCGGCAACTTTGTATGGGACGTACCCTAAGTCGAAATTTTAAAACCCCAGTTCAACCTAGTAGAGCCTGATTTCTTTGATGTAGACATATGCCGCTCTAATTTAAGAACCTTTTTCAACCTAATTTCGTCTTATATCAAGGTGAGAAATAGTGAGTTGAGGTTTAGTTTAAAATTAGAATATTTTCAGCCTTAGTGGTCATACGTAACTAGTGGATCTTTAATTCAAGCCCATAGATGGAGACTCCATCTTCCCTATGTGTCGAGAGTTTCGTCTCTTCTACTAAGTTCGATAGAAATCCATCGAACTTGAATACTAGTAAAGCTGGAAGCTTGTAGTATCTGTTCGTAGTTGTAAAGATGTTAATTAAATGAAAGATAATGAAAGGAATTAAATGAGAGCAAAGACAAACTTTGAAAAAATAAATGGGGTTGATTGCCAAGCCAGGAATCGAACCTGGATCTCCCTGATAACATGTCAGGAGCTTTTTTTGTTTGTTTGTTTTAAAAAGTATGTTTTTATTAAAGACAATACAGATACATGAAATAAGTCAAAAAAATCTTAGAAAATAACTTAAACAGAATTAATATAATATTTGTTTATGCTTGGTTATAATGCAATATATAAATCTCAGCATATTTTTATCTATAGGTTAACTATTTAAACTTAAAGTATTTATTTTTGGGTGAGTCTTTTGACATTTTTAAATATTTTTGGTGTTATGGAAAAAATTAAAACCATAATGACATAAATTATTCCTTACGAGCTAATAAAATCTATAATAAAATATGAAAATATTATAAAATATATTATTATATAATATGATATCTTAAAACTATGGAAATTTACATATATACATTTGTACTACTTTGTTAATGAGGCTTGAAATTGCCTAGTATATAATGTTATATTCAGACAGATATGAATTTCTATCTCGCACGTCGTTGTCTACGTTGTTGTTGTTGCTGTTTCAGTCTAGCTCGTCTTCTGAGCTCGTCAATGAATTTGGCGTCTTCTTGTAGCCACCAGTAATTCTCGGATAGTCGGTCGAGACAATTTTTATCTGCATCAGAGATGGCTGTTGAATACACCAGGTTGTTACGGTGTATGTTTTCGTCAAGCGGAATTGCTTTATTGGTGCAGCGTCTTTTGACATGAAAAATAGTTGGTATATTGTTTTCATTTTGGATGAAACCAAGTTTGTCCAGGTTGGTAAATATTTCAGGAGCTGAGTATTTACTCTTGGCCATTCTTTGAACCTGAAACCAATCTAAACATTTAAGATTTTTTAAATAAATATTATCTATTTGGTTCAGTGTACTATAGTATCTTCTTGTGAGTCTTAAAATAAAAATGTCGAAACGTGGAATACTAGCTGAATTGTATAAAGTCTTATTATCTACGCATTTTTTATAGTCGGATTCTGCTGTCTTGTAGAGTCCTAAACAACTTCTTAGGCAGGATCTTTCCAGTTTTCTATATTTTTCCATAATTGAGGCGCCTGTATTCCACCAAATTGGAGCTGCATATGAAAGTATAGGTCTCATATGCAGCTCCAATTTGGTGGAATGTCAGGAGCTCTACCAGTTAAGCTACCGGACCCCTACCACCATTATTTTTCTCAGTGCATTCTTATACTCTCACTGCTTACTTACTTTTCCTTTTCTCCTACCCAAACTACGTACTACGATGGTAATGTAGTAATTATTATTGAGGCGTCAGTACAAATTTTTTAGAGTTACTTTTTCATCGACCGATTATGTGTTTTAAATTAGAATATTTTCAGCTTTATTGGTCATACGTAACTAGTGGATCTTTAATTCAAGCCCATAGATGGGCTTTACAACTACGAACAGATACTACAAGCTTCCAGCTTTACTAGTATTCAAGTTCGATGGATTTCCATCGAACTTAGTAGAAGAGACGAAACTCTCGACACATAGGGAAGATGGAGTGTCCATCTATGGGCTTGCGAATTAAAGATCCACTAGTTACGTATGACCAATAAGGCTGAAAATATTCTAATTTAAAACACATTATCGGTCGATGAAAAAAAAACTCTGAAAAAGTTTAGTTTAAATTTTAAGATTCTGTTTCAACCTAACTCGTCTTGCATCAGGGTGAGGAGTATTGAGTTGGGGTTTAGTTAAAATTTTAAAACTCTGTTTAGACCTTATACGTCTAAATTCAGGTCGTAGAAGAGTGAGCTGGGGTTTAATGAGAATTTTATCGCATAGGCTTCCTAGGGTGAAAGAGAGATTAAAACTTTATAAATTTTTCAAAATAAATAATAGTAATAAAAATTATTATCATTATTTTGAAAATGTATTACAGTAAAGCGTGCGAAAAAATCACAACAAAACCATGTATACATTTTTTGTGCTTAATAAACTGCGTCGAATGCTTTTTTAAGAATTAAAATCGAACGTCGCGTTCAAAAATTATATTTGTTTAAAAATTCACAATATTTTTTTTCTCAGTATTTTTTCGAGATAACATTTAAATTTCTTAACCAAACAATATTTGCCCGGACATCCACTTTTTTTGTTTTAAAAACAGTGTCGAAAACCATTTAGAAAATTAAAATCTATCGACGCGTCCAAAAGTTACAGCTGATTAAAAATTTACAAAAATTTTTTTTTGATATTTTTCGAAAATAATTACCAGGCTTCTTTAACCTTTCAATATAAACCTGGATATACAGATTTTTGAAGTGAAACTTCTTTGCGCGCGTTGAGGGTAAAATTTCAAGGTCGCGTCACAATAATAATAATATGAGCGTCACAATAATCATAATGTGAGCGTCACAATAATCATAATATGAGCGTCACATTGAAGGACGCATATATAAACGTAGTTGGAGAGAAAAAGATAAAGATATAAAGGAATACTATACTTTTACACTATAGAAATGTTATTTTCACGTGCGCATGCGTTGTATTTTAGACTGTAGGTGCACTGCTCTTAAATATTATTATGGTTTAACACAATAGAATTAGCATTAAGAAAAGAAATAATTTTTAAATCACTGTTGAATTAATAGAAATAATTCCTAGTAAGGAAAGAATAAATAATAGTTTAAAAAAATTTAAAAATACGCTTTACATAGAAAACCAAATTAAAAAATAGAAAATAAATGTTTATAAATTTGAATTAAGAATAATGTAAAAAATTTTAATAAATATAAATTAATAATAGTGTAAATAAGAAAAAAATGTATCTTATTTTAAAAAAAAGGTGGAGTGCATGGCATCAATAGAGTAAGGGAGATCGAGAAAAAATACACACTATTAGTTGATGTATTCGTTTAGTAGATAAATATTAGAACTTTAGATGGCAACACATCAATAATTGATGTATAATAATCCAAACACACCAACTAGAAATTCAGGAACGACAATAGATGCTATTTTTAAAAGATATTTAGATAGTGTTGAAACCCGAACTTATATTGCATATTTTAGTAATTATTATGCTTTGGTCACAACAATACCAATAGAAATCGCATCAAATAATATAAATATCGAAGAAATAAATTTAAAAAATTAGGAAAACGGTTGACCCTGAAGGCCATCCTTGCAACTTCCCGCTACTTTCGTAATTAAGCACTCAAAATTGTACTTATTACGTTTTTGAGTTGTTTGAGCTCAAAAATATAATTTCCATGTAGTTTTGAGCTCTCCGAGTTCAAAAGTCTGATGGCAGTTTAATTAAACACTATTTTTGCATGCCTCAGAGCGCGAAGCGCGTGAGGTTGTGCTTTATACTCGACTCGTCAAGGTCAAGCAATTTTGTGATCTTTAAATACCTCTAACGCAACCATATTACACTTATACAATGATATAAGTAGATGTACACCGAAAAAACACTTAAATTAAATCATCTTTTACTTTCTAAAATCATTTCATGTTGCTATTTTGAAAAAAATTTTACGTGGACGTCCGGATGTCACCCCATTTTGGATGTACCAACGATTACTCCCGAACAAATTGATATTTCAAGACCGGACCTTTTTTATTAGTTTAAGAATTCGATTAACTGGGTCCGTATTTCATATCAGTGGCCTAGTTTACGTTTTTTTTTTTTTTAATTGAATTTTTATTAAAATTCACTACGATACAACCGTACAAAGCCAAACGAGCTTTTCTCATTTGTCACGTGAAAACTATGGCGCCACTTGATCAAGCTCGATTTTTTTATTTTAGACTGCTTGCGCATATGACAAGAAAAAAGAGCGCCGATATTTAAAAAAAAAATAAAAAATACTCTGTAAGAAATTACTTAATTATAATTTATTTTTTAATCAATTACACAATTAATTTTTTTCTTAAAAAATGAATGAGCGTTATGAGGCGTGCACTTTTGGATTTTCCAAACTTTTTGAGTTTTCGGGCATCAGTCGTGCGAGACTAGCCCTCACTACTGACGCTTTGGCACTGACGTGTTCCACTTGCTGTTTAAAGTTGAGACGGGCATCAAGCATCACTCCCAAATATCGGATATAAGGTTGTGATGTGATTTTTTGTCCGCCAACTTTCAGCTTGATGGTCTCTAACACTTTTCTGCTGGATATAAGCATTGCCTCAGTTTTGTGTGTAGCTAGATGCAGGTTTACCGTATTCATCCACCATGAGTAAGGCCTCGTGACGTTGTCAAAGCATTTGGCAACGCAGGTAGGCTCAAAGATTATGGGGATGACGGTAGACAAGTAACAAACAAACGAGACACATACAGGGATAACTAAATATTATAGCTCAACAGGCCTTACGGCTACACCTCCCCGCATGGGCCCCGCTGGGTAACTGGTCGGATTGTCATTATATTACCGGCCAGGCCAACGTAGTCGTTGAATGGAGTTGTATAGGGAAGGTTTGATACAGTGAACAATTACGAGGACAGATTGACATTAAATTAAATTCAACTCTATTCACATTCTGTCCAGTGATAGCGTAAAAGCTGGAGGGCAGGGTTTTTCCTTGCCCGGCGAGTTGACAGTGCTTTTGTTTTGGTGAGATTTGGGTTTTATTTTAAGTGCGTGTATAGCTTTTAAGCCCAGGAAACGGCCTGTTCAAAAGGAGGCAGACGAAAGTCTCACCAAATAACTCGTATTCATCCACCGATGGACTCGCTCGAAGGCGATGTCAAACATGTTGTTAATCTTGTCAAGGTGTTTAGCGACGATTACTACGGCTACGTCGTCTGCATACGCTACGAGTTTTACACTTCTTGGCAATTTCAATCTCAATAGGCCATCGTACATGATATTCTACAGCAGTCGACCAAGTACAGAGCCCTGGGGTACACCTCCGGTAATATCGTACTCTTTTGGACCATTTTTCGTGTCGTATTTAAGAACTCTATCGGTGAAATAGCTGGCCACCATTCTACACAGGTATTCTGGAACGTTTTTCTCTCGGAGAGCTTGCATGATGCAGTTTCAGTTGGCGGAATTGAAGGCGGTTTTAATGTCTAATGCTGCCACCAGGCAATACTTCCTTGTGCCACCCTTCCATCTGGTTCCTGCGATCGCTTCTTTAGCCGTGCTAACAACCAGATTGATCGCGTCCAGGGTTGATCGTCCTTTCCGGAATCCATACTGGTTGTCTGCCAGGAGTGGATCGACTACTGCATTAATTCGTTGATGAATTATGCACTCAAATATCTTACCCGCCGTATCTAGCATGCAAAGTGGTCGGTAAGATGACGGTTCTTCTGGTGGTTTCTTCCCTTTAGGTAATAGTACCAATCGTTGCTGTTTCCACTTACGAGGAAAAGTCCCCTCCTTGAGGCATGCATTATAAGCGTCTAGGAATAATGTTGGAGCTGCCTTTATGATGGTTTTCAAGGCTAAATTAGGGATTTCGTCCAATCTCGGCGCTTGATTATTCCCTACACGGTTACAAGCCTCTAGCAGTTCTTCTTCAGTGACAGGTGGGATGTCATCCAATTCGCCTGGCGCCAACTGGTAATCGAAGTTGCGTTGCTGTGGAAACAGTGCAGTGACAATTTTCTGAAGAAGTTGAGGACACGTAGGTGATGGCATTTGTTGTTTTTTGAGGTGGGTCATAACCACCTTGTAAGGCCTACCCCACACGTCTTTATCCACCTCGTATATAAGCTCTTTCCAGCATCTTCTTTTGCTCTCTTTGATGGCTTTATTCAGTTCACGACCCGCCTTTTTGTACTCTGCGGTCAGCTCCGCTGAGTTGGGCCGTTGATAGCCGCGCTGAGAGATTTTTCTTCTCTTATGGCACTCTTTACGGAGGACGCTGATGTGGTCGTTCCACCAATGCACCGAAGGTCTCGAATTTATACCACGTTTACGAGGCATACTGGCATCACAAGCATGTGTTACTCTCCTCATCAGGTCCTTAGTCTGTTCTTCTGCACATCCAGTGTTGATCGGATCAACATCGAGGGCTATTAGTAATGCTTCTGGGTCAAAAGATTTTACCTTCCAACCAACGATGTTAGACTGCTTGACTGGTCTCTTGGGGTCCTGGTTGCTTGATATTTCCCAGAATATCGCATGATGGTCGCTGGCAGT